TTATGTAACCTGTTTATTGCACTTGCTCAATGCTGCCAACAGGAACGTGATATTAGCAACACGAGAAGTGATGAGCTCATACGAAGTGCTGGTGCTCGCGAGGATGGTAGCGCTGAACGCTGCTTTAAAAATACACTTCAGCGCACGGCACCTAACTATAATTGACGTTAACCCGACGTGACGGCTGAATCGTAGGAGTACATATGAAATATTTATAAAATTGAATAGCCAGCACTGCAGCCACAATCGACGTTTCACGAACACTAGAGGGTAGTTGAAAAACGGTAGTACGGAGACACAGCGTGGACCTGTGGTAAAATGCTTGACTTCTACGCAGAATGCTTGGGTTCGATTCATGCAGGGACCCTAACATTTCTTGTTTGCATTCATTTGGTCAACGCTGCCGATGTCAGGTTTTTCTTAGCACTCACGCCTTGAAATCGCCCATGCGTGTTCCCGCCATTCCGGGTCAATAGTGTCACTAACCTGAGGCACAAACTCTGCTGCGGGTATGTGCCACTGTCTGGCGGGAAGTGTTTGGTGACGTACGCGACGGTATTGTAAGAATATTCATGTCTTCCGCCGCACGTCATATTTGCCAAAGCACCTTACCCTTCCATAGTAATTTTGGTTCACGACCATTTGAGGGGGTGATCACGATAGCACCCTGACGTAAGCGGCTGGCTAGATAGATTGATTGAAAGTTAGATAGATAAATAGATGGGTGCCAAAAGTGCTTGCAGTACGCAAAGAAACGCCTCGAATTGAAAACATTCTGGCTTTGGCCTTATATTTACGGAAACTACAGCTGTCAGCTTCAGTGTAGTTCTTCAACCACAGTGATGCCTTACAATGAAACAAGGTTCCCTAAAATTATAGAGCAATTCAGGTGAAATTAACGTACTGTTAGTAAGAGAAAAAAAGAAAAAAAAGCTACAGCTATACTACTTTGCATATGAAAGTTATATTTCCCAACTTTTGCTTGCGTTTAGAAAATTTGGAGGAAATATCGCAAGAACGCTGAGCATACTGCACTGAGCCACCTCGTCGGCATTAAGTATGAGAAGGTGTGCGGCAAAGCACGAAAATGCAGCTTTATGTTTAATGTATTTGTCACTTTTTGAAACCCATGCTGGTGAAATTTGAATGAAAAGATAAAAAATGTAGGTATGTCCGATTACACAGTAGATGCTGAAGGGCTGCAGATAGCCTAAGTTGGACAAGCAGTGGGAGAATTGACTTTTTTTTTAATCATAGAGACAGCTTTGAGATGATAAAGTGAACATGCTTAATTCACTACAGTTTTATCCCAAAATCAAACTTCAGAACTTGCGCTTACTAGGCTGCACACGACACAGCGTTAGGTTTTCACATTACAGCCGTACGCTGTCTAAAACTGAAAGGAAAGCGATATGCGGAGGTGCTCAAAAACCACGTTTTTTAACAGTGCATTCTGCATTAAGTAGGGGTACGGCTCCGGGGCTGGACCGCATAACAGTAAAGCTGTTGGCAAACCCTCCCTGACACAGCCTACCTCCATTTATTGGAATACATGAACTAGATCTGGATGGCAGTGCCTCCCTTCCGAAGGGAAAACGTCACTTGTGACGTTTATCCCCCAAAGCAGGCAAGGCCGTGAATACGGAAAATCTGAGGCCCATATCACTGACTTCGTGCGCGGGCAAGCTCATGGAGACGATGGTACGGGATCGCCTCTCCCCATACCTTGAAGGCAAGGGCTTCTTTGCAGACACCATGTTTGGGTTTCGCCCACACATGTCTGCACAGGACGTCCTTCTCCAGCTCCATAGGGCCGTCATACAGCCCATAAGTATGCAACACAATGATAAAGCCATCCTCGCCCTTGATCTGAAGGGGGCTTTCGACAATGTTAAACACAGCAGCATCCTGGCTAACTTGAGCTCCACTGATTGCGGGGCTAAGGCCTTTGCATATGTCAGAGATTTTCTCTCTAAACGCCAGGCACTTCTTCGGATCGAGGACGAGGAATATGGCCCGTACATTATGGGAACACGGGGTACCCCACAGGGAGCAGTGTTATCACCACTCCTTTTCAACATTGCTATGATGCGCCTTCCAAGCGAATTGGCCAGGGTGGAAGGCACACAACACGCAGTATATGCCGACGATATTACAATCTGGACCACTGAAGGGAGCCTTGGTGAAATGCAGGAACGCCTTCAGCAGGCCGCATCCATAGTCGAGGCGTATGCCAACGATTGTGGACTCCAATGTGCTCCAAACAAATCAGAGCTTCTGCACGTTAGAGCGAATCCAAGAGATAAGTCAGCCATACACATCTCCCTGTCTGGGGTTCCCATCAGAGAGGTGGAGGAGCTCCGAATTCTGGGCCTGTTCATTCACCACAGACTCAGACCGGACTCCACTATAGCGAAACTCAAGAGAATAGGCGAACAGGTAGGGCGCATGATCCACCGCGTTTCCAACAAGCGGGGTGGTCTGCGGGGCAGAGACGCGCTTCGGCTCGCGCATGCCTTCGTGACTAGCCGAATCCTCTACGCCGTCCCATACCTTCGCACTAACAAGCAAGAAGACGAAGAATAGATGCCATCATTCGTAAGGCTACTAAACGAGCTCTGGATCTCCCGGTGGCCACTTCCAACGCCAAACTGAGGGCGTTAGGTGTGCTCAACTCCTCCCAGGAGTTGCGGGAGGCCCACCTTATGAATCATATACGCGGCTCGTGCAGACGGCTCCCGGGCGCCGCCTGCTAAACCGCTTACATATACAGCACACTTGCACTGCAGAGGAGGCGGAGCGTATTCCAGAACTGTGGCGGCATATGCTCTCGGTCGCTCCACTCCCCAGTAACATGGATAAGCACACGCACGAAAGCAGAAGACAGGCGCGGGCTCGGACGCTTGAGAGGCAACACGGCTCCCAACCTGGTGTATTCTACGTAGATATAGCAGGGCCTTCGCCCACGGGATTTTACACGGCCTCTGTAGTTCACTGGGAAAAGCATATCAATGGGCTCTCGTTCCGAGCACAAAATCCAGAGCGCGCTGAGGAAGTCGCGATAGCGCTTGCTGCTGCGGACCCCAACTCGAAAGTTATCATCACGGACACCCGGAAAGCATGTACTCATTACTTGGTAGGAGAGATATCCCCCCTAGCCAGCCAAATTCTAAAACGGGCTCTCGCTGATCCAGCCCCGAAACGCATCGTATGGGCTCCTGGCCATCAGGGCCTACGAGGTAATGAGGCCGCTGACGCGGCCGCCCGAGCGCTTACCCACCGGGCTCCTCACCTTGGCTCTTATGACTCGGAGGCCAATACACCGCTGCTGCGGTTCAAAGAAATTCTCACCTATTATCGTGACACTCACCGCCTTTACCCGGCTCCTGCGAAGGGGCTGAGTAAGGCGGAAGAGCGAACTCTAAGGCGCCTGCAGACAGGTACTCTACTCTGTCCTGCAATCCTAAAGTGTAACCTATTTCCTAAGTGCTCGAAGTGACCCTACCATTTTACCAGTACGAAACCTGTGCGATAAATTACCCTAGTCTTACTCAACGTTATTGGTAAAATACAACGCGGCCTATACGCCACTATGCTCGAATAACTGGCTGAAATCTCTTTGTTCAGCTGTAAACTCGAGAAACCCTTGCGTTCTGATGGGGGCGTTAGACCATTTGCTGGACAAAACAAATGCACGCTCGTGAACTGAAGTGTGCTGTGGCCTGTATGCAAGAAATATTCGTAATGCATAGACGCTTGCAGGAGTTACCAGCATTCTTCTTAAGCAAAAACGATTGTGCTGGATAGGTTCACAATCGTTGCTCGAACACCAGCAGAAGATTCTTGGCTAACACTTTCTGTGAACCCTGCAGGTGAAGCATATAAGAACTTCACAGTTTAACTGCTTCTTTGAAGATTCGTTTCATTGTACGCGGTAATAAGTTAACTACGTGTGTTGGGTGATTCTTACTTTATATGTCTCAACGTGAACAAATTGAGAAAACAATGACCATGCTGGCAACTGGCAAACTTTGAGACACTGGGCTGCCCACTGTTCTATTAATCCATGCATGCAGCTCTCGAGTATCTCAGTTCGGTGGATTGAACAGCTGTACTGAATATAGTTCCTTTCAAGCGATTGTTGAAATGTATTAGGTTCGCAAATTTTTTTTCAGTATTACCACCATAATTGAAGATCATAAGGAAAGTTCTTGGCATCGGTTAAGACAGTCATCCACTCTTTGTCGCAATTCTGAAATAAATCCAGCATTTTGAAACCCACTACTATGAGTAATACGGGTTATGTACGAAATACTTAAGCATACAGTCGCACACAGTCCAATTAGCAATAACGCGTCTTTTTTGTCAGGATTGCTACAATACTGCATCGCACTTGGACTTTTGTGGGGTCCTTAAGATGGCAAGTGCTTCATTCTTGAGTGGCAGGAAGGAGTCAACATTTGGCGAATACCTCGAAGTTAGACCGATGGATGACTTCACTGAATTCAACGTGGCTATTGCATGAACCAATGCACGAGCAACTCCAAAGACTGTGCATATCATTTCTCTCTTTCCGCCTCTTGAAGAAGCGTCTACGTTAAAAAAAGTGACACTTTTCGAAACGGGGATTATTACCAGCGCAAGAAAGATAACAGTAATGGCTTCTGATCACAAATATGATACCTTAAGTGCTCTTTTTGTGTTACGCAGGTAACAAAACGAAAAATAAAGAATCTTCTTACTTTTAGTAGGAGCACTGAGTGGTTAGGCACGGAATGTGCAAAAGTAGTTTCGTATATAAAAGGGAACTTCAGCTTGTCGTTTATAACTCATCACAGTAACGTGTCATCCCACTACGTCAATTTTGAAACACGCTTGCACAAGAGCTATTATTAAAAAATTATTTTCATTTTTACGTGATAAACAGCGTATAGTTCATATGATTTCCGGAAGATTTATTGCTTGAACTAAGAAAGCAAGCAATATTTTGTGCATCTTACCAGGACGAAGTCGAAATCGGGAGCTGATTGTCGACGGCACCTTTGGTCACTGCAGAGAAAGAAACAAAAGCAAGATTCAATAATGGAAGCAGGAAATAACTACCACAATAAAATGAGGACCCCAGCTGTTAAGGTGCCTTTTATTAAACGTAAGTAAAGACATTTTCTTATTTTTACGGCAAGATGTGATTGAATGCATTTCGAGAACGATTTTTTTCTGATTATTGCTTTAAATGCTTTGTAAAAAAATTCTGTGCGGAATTAGTCACTCTGCAAAAAAAAAAGGGGGGTGGGGGGGGGACTTCCAGTTTTGTCAAGCACAAGCTGGCGTTGCTAAAAGTAAGTAAAGAAGAAAGAAGCATGCAAACCTGAATGCATTTGTGAAAGCCTCACGTGGAGCTTCTGGAACGCTCGAACACGCAAGTAGCTGGTCGTGCTTGCTCTGGGGTTTTGGCCTAAGTTTGTGTAGTGGCTGTGGTTTCTTTGTCTTTATTAGGTGTTCTTATAGTGCTTTTACAGCTAAGTAAGCGCTTTTAGCGCTAGAAAGTTCACTTAGATGCAGTTTTCTTCACCTGGACCAGGGGCTTGCCCCTGGTCTGCTTCACTTCCGCCACAGGATATACCAGTGGATCAGTTTCTACGCAACGGCATTCCCGCAGTTCCTGTGGCCCTCGTCCCTAGCAACGACGGCTTCATTCGGATGAAGAATCCGAAAGTGATCCAGGCGGAGCTTAGAGCTGTGACGTCTCACTTTCACAGCATCACAGAGGTCCGTGCAGTTCGGCAGAGGTGGTGTTCTATGTTTTTCATCTGATCAGCTCTGTATCCAAGACCTATTGAAGTGCTCGAGTTTCGCGACCAATCCGGTGAGCGCCTTTATTCCCCGGCATCTGGCATGTGTGAAAGGTATTGTTCGCGGTGTCGATGTTAACTTGACCCCGTCTGAGGTATTAGAGATGTTTGCCGTGACTGGTGCTATTTCCGTTTATAGGTGTGCACGACTAGTAGAGAAGCAGAAGACGCCGACTGAGTCGGTAATTGTAACCTTTGCTGGAGTGAATCTCCCAAGCGAAATCAAGGCATGGCCACTAATATACAGAGTGGAACCGCTATCACCGCGACCACTCCAGTGTACGAAGTGCTGGCGATACGGTCACACTATTAAAGGATGCAGGTCAGAACTCAGATGCCGAGTGTGTGGTGACAACCACGAAACAAATTACTGCAAAGCTAAAGAAGAGAAATGTTGTCTCTGCAACGAACAACACTGTGCAGATAATCCTGATTGTTCTGCAAAGGCCCGAGAAATGCAAATTCTTGAAATTATAGGGCGTAGGCGCTGTTCTCGACGAGAAGCCCTAGCGGAAATACAGACTAGAACTCAGGGGTATGCCAGTGTTGCAGCACGACATCTCTCGGAAATAAATTGGTCGATTTCCCTGAATATAGCGGAGGCCATAGAAAAGGCTCTAGAAAAAGCCATGGAACGACTGACTTCTAACCTTTGCGATTCTCTATCTCAAATTTTGGCTAACCAGATGACTTGCATATTTGGTACAGTGGGAGAGTCAGGCCTAGTATCCCAACATGTTGAGAGTTCACGACCGAAAGCTGACGGTGACTCTGAAACTGCGCCATCGTATTATCAGCCCGCAGGAGCCTCTGCAATAGGCGTCCACAGCCAAAATGAGGAATTTGAAACCGCACCATCGTATTCTCCGTCTACAGCTCCCTCTGCAGTAGATACACAGAGTGTAAGTGAAGACAAAGCTGCATATACAATAGATTCTGATGACATGGATTTGGACCCTAGGTCCCTGAAGAGATCTAGATCCCCTGTGTCAAGGAAAACTAACTCACCGAAACAAACAAAGAACAAAAAGTATCTGAAAGAAAAGGAGAGCCTTTCAAAGAGGGATTTCTTGAAAGAAAGCATTCTAGAGAAAGCTATAGCGGAAGCAGCTCTTTCGAAACCATAGGGTCGCTTAAGATTCTCCATTGGAATTGCCGATCAATCCATTCTGCATCTACGGATTTGGTATACTTGACTTCTAAATTCGCTACTGATATTATAGCATTACAAGAGACATGGCTATCTGTACATAATTTGTTCCATTTAAATAACTTCCAATCTTTTCGATTAGACCGTCCATCGAGAGGTGGAGGCCTAGCTCTCTTTATTAGTAATAGAATTAGTATGAAAGTCAAATGCTCATACAAACATATGTCGCCAGAATGCGAAATTTTGGCAGTAGACATTACACTGTCCAACTGCACTCCTTTCACTTTAGTTAATATGTATTTTCCGGATGGAGTTCAAGACACACGAAGTTTGGATCTAGCTACAAAATCGTGGTGCAAAGACAAAGTTTTAGTTGGAGACTTTAATTCCCAACACACGAGTTGGGGTTTTAGAACTGATCTTAGTGGGAAACGCTTGTGGGAGTGGACAATGGCCAATGACCTGACGTGCCTCAACGTCAGAACCCCCACATTTATTCGTAATCACTCCAGGTCGGCCTTAGATTTAAGTTTTGTCAGTTCAACCATTAGTACTTCTTCTTGGAAAGCGCTGGACTGTGGCACCAACAGTGACCACTTACCGATAAGTTTTGAAATTTCTTGTCCGATAATTCCATCTTGTTCAAATGTAAGAGTATTTGTAAATTACACTAAATTTAGGAATGACCTGAAGTCAGCACTGGCTTTTCACTCGGAAGAGAGCGATGATAAAAAAGCACTGAAAATAAACGCAGTCATTAAACGATCCTACAAAAGAGCAGAATTTACTGTTGAATCCACAAAAAGAGTATATAGCCGTTGGTGGAATGATGAATGTACAAGAGAGCACCGACGACGTCAGGCAGCTTGGAAGCAGCTCTTACATAATCAATCCCCACAAAACTGGGCCGATTATAAATTCATTGCTGCGGGCTTTAAAAGAACGGTAGCTCAGGCTAAACAAGATTATGACAGAAGACATTATGAATACCTGTCGAAGCCTAAACATATGAAAGCACTGTTCCGATATATGAGAGCTCGGAAAATCTTGCCATCACCAGTTAATGTAGCTTGTGATAATCTGTCGGCACAAGAAATGACCACTACCTTGGAGGCTATCGGTAAAGGTCTGGAAAGCAGATTCACTTCAGTAGTGCCAAACAACTGGCACAAGTCTACGACAAAGTCTGACTTTGAAGAAGTGACACAGACTGAAGTATCCAACGTGATTAAACATTTACCCTGTGCATCTCCTGGTCCAGATGGAATCACAGTACCCATGATTAAAATTCTGTTCAATTTATCGCCTCGAGACGTCGCCAATGTTATTAACTACTCCTTGAAAAACTCATGGGTGCCGCAGGATTGGAGGATAGCAAAGGTGATTCCTATACTAAAAAAGCCGGGTGGAGGATTAACAGTCGATAATATCAGACCAATCTCTTTAACATCTAACATGGTCAAACTAGTAGAGAGGGTCCTACATAGCCGAGTAAGTATCTGGATGGCAGACAATTTAGTAATAAAACCGAACCAAATCTGCTTTCGTAGTGATTTCTCAATTTGGTGTGCCCATGCTGATTTAGAGAGCCGAATACAGCTCGCGCGTAAAAGAAGGCAATACGCTGCTTTAGTAACGCTTGACATAGCCAAGGCGTATGACAGTGTGGAGCACTTCATATTGTTAAATACGCTGGAGAGATTGAACTTCCCACAATATTTTATTGAGTGGGTGGCAGAATTCTTAAAATCAAGAGAATTCTACTGCGTCAAGGATGGATGTTCCTCATCTAGATTTAAACAAACGTGCGGAGTTCCCCAAGGAGCAGTCTTATCTCCAATATTATTTAATGCTTTAATGAGCACAATTCCAACAGATCAAGAAGTTACTGTCTACATTTATGCTGATGACATCGCACTCTTTGCTGCTGACTGTGGTATTTACTCATTACAACTTAAATTACAAAGATATATTAACATGTTGGAAATTTGGTTGCAGTCGATTTCGTTATCGTTAAATGTCAACAAAAGCGCGCTCATGGCGTTTCCGCTTGCAGAACCAATTTCAATTTCAATTCTATATAAACAGGAACCCATCCAGCAAGTAGACTCTATAAAATATTTGGGAATAATTTATAATGACAAACTTAACTGGAGTCCACACATAGAGTATATAACTACCAAAGCACAGCGGGCTTCAGGCTTACTACACAAGCTAAGTAACCGGAAATATGGGTTACGGAGGCACACCTTGATAACGTTGTACAAACTTTATATGCGCCCCATCATGGAATTCGGCTGCATATTATTCTCGGGTGGCCCTGCTTATAAAACGAAACCTCTAGTTGTCTTGGAGCGAGAAGCACTGCGAATGTGTCTGGGACTCCCTAGATTTGTGGCTATCAACGTACTGTACCAGGAAGCGCGCCTGCCTACACTGCTTTGTCGATTCCGAATTTTGACCGTACAAGCATTTTTAAAATTTTATAGCTTACCGGCAAGAAGATCTCAATATGCTTTTATCGCAAACCCAGATGCCTTCTTTCTTGCTCATTGGCCACGGTTTCACACACCTCAGATAATGTTTGTACAAAAAAGCCTACAAAGTATAAATGTGAACATTAGAAATGTAATTGAGACTAATGACTCGAATTGTCATGTTATTATTGAGTATGATGATATATTCCCGCAAAACGCCAAATTACAATCCCTCAAATTTTTAAATAGCATATTATTAGATTACTTGGAGCATGCAAAAACTAAAAATATAATAGCCACAGATGCTTCCGTAAATAATCAAAAGGCAGGTGTAGGCATTGCCTCTGATTTGCTTGACTGGTCCTTTTCAGTGAGACTGCCTGATTTTACTCCAGTTTTTGAAGCGGAGCTCTTGGCGATTATTTTAGCTCTTCGAAAACTTCCATCAAATCAAAACAATGCAGTAATAATGACGGATTCTCTTTCAGTTTGTGCAGCTCTGACAGCTTCAGAGAACTCTCGAATTCTAAGCACATTCAAAACATTAGTACCACCGCAGTTGAGACTCCT